TAAATAATATAATTATAATAAATAATATAATATTATTTATTATAACCAACGGCCAAATTAACTCCCATTTTGTATTCCTTTGATTTCTCACCACACTAGCATGCCAGAGGTACAGATAGAAACAGTTTGTCAGGCTTGCCTTTCCTTTGGAGGAAGAAGTAGCTGGCTATGCTTGGGTGACCCAGGGTGTGGAGTTCTGTATTTAACATATTAAAATTTGAGTTCCTTTATTGCCTCTTGTGTACTTTGTCCCAGTGTTATGATGGTATTTTTTTGATTGATCATCAATCCTGCCCGTACAAAAGGGTGTTTGGCTTCCACAAGTGAGCCTAGCACTCTTTTCTGACTCCTTGCCTTGTTGGTTGGTGGCATCCGAGCAGAATTGTCCAGGACTGCCCAGCCATGCTGAATTTTGGTTGTTCCCCAGTTGCGTTGCTTTTTTTGATTTATCATCAATCCTGCCCGTACAAAAGGGTGTTTGGCTTCCACAAGTGAGCCTAGCACTCTTTTCTGACTCCTTGCCTTGTTGGTTGGTGGCATCTGAGCAGAATTGTCCAGGACTGCCCGGCCATGCTAAATTTTGGTTGTTCCCCAGTTGCGTTGCTTCTGTTGTTGAGAGGTGAGCAACTAGGAGAGGTTTGTATGGCTATGTGTGTAGGGGTAGGGGATAGTTGAAGGCAGAATGAGATGGCTGCTTCGAGCAGTGGCATGTGGGTATCATGAAGAGGCAGTGCAGTATATTGTGATGACTTGGGGATGATGACAACAGCATCACTGTTGTGTAAATGGAACTATGTAACACAGTTTCAGCCACTGTGTAAAAAAAAATTAGGTGTTTCAGATCAGATGGTTGTAGTAGGTTTTTTGGGCTGTTTGGCCGTGTTCTGGAGGTTTTTCCTAATGTTTCGCCAGTCTCTGTGGCCGGCATCTTCAGAGGACAGAAGTTAGAACAGTTATTTTAGATCATGTCTACCAGTTTTCTTCTTCTCTGGGAGCGGGTCCTTTGTAAATCTAATGGATCTTACCTGCCCCTCCGAGCCTAAGACCTGCTCAAATACTTAGCATCACCACAGGAAGAGGTCGCAGCAATACATTTTTGCCTAGCAAATCCACCCCTTCCCCAGTTACTATGAGGACTGCAGAGGTAACAAAACTTTGGGTGAGGAGATTGGCAGATTTGTATTCGCAAATGGCAGATTATATCATTGGCCCTATTTATTTGGGCTTGAGGTGGAGGGGCTTTTCACTGAGGGGGCTTTTGTGGGAGAGGAGATATGAAGAGAGGGTTGTTTCGATACCCCCCCCAAATAAATTGAATTTAAAAGTCTATTGACTTATTTTTCCTTCTCACATTTTATCTGGTATGGGCAGATTTACAGCTAGCCCCCCCTGATTATGTTTTAATACATTAATATTAATATATTACGGTATAGTTATATTCTGAAAAACTATTTTAGTGTGTTTTCTTTACCCCATTAAAAATGCCTTTTCATGCAACTGTGGCGGGTTGTGTGTGTTGCAGTTTACAGTGGACCCTCTACTTACGGAATTAATCCGTATTGGAACAGTGGCTGCAGGTCGAAAAGTCTGTAGGTCAAGTCTCCATTGACCTACAATGCATTGAAAACCGATTAATCCTGTAACTGGCTGTTTTTGTTCGATTTTTGTTCAATTGTGCTTTTTTTCCTGGTCTGTAGGTCGATTCTCCGGCTGCAAGTCAAACCTAAATTTTGCGGCCAGAGAAGTCTGTAATTCTAAAAGTCTGTAAGTCGAGCCGTCTGTAAGTCGAGGGTCCACTGTACTTGGGTATTATAAAAGGAGGTCGCAAAAAAGATTAGGAAACACTGGTTTTGAGAATGCAGTGCTAGGGAGACAACACTTTCCAATAGTGTCCTCCTTCAGAAAGGCTGGCTCATCACAGTACTGGGGAAGAAATGATTTCTTATCTCCTTTTCTTACTTATACTGACCTGTGGGGACTTGCTAACTGCCAGGTACAACCACATTCCACCAGTGCCTAGATCTGCTATTCCTCTGGAATATGCAGTCCAGTTGATCTTCTAACATGCCCAGAGTCTGACATTTATTATGATTTTTTTCTCATGTTCCTTTGCAGGTCCTGAAATCAATTCTGCTGAAACAGGTAAGGAAGTCATAATGGGATGGGACTCCAAGAATGCTTACAGCAAATCTGTTGACATAGTTCTTCATAACAAGTTATGACCAATCTCTTTCTTTAAGAGAGGGCTTTGGCTGATATAGCTAAGTATGTCTTGGATTTGTGTATATGATGAAGGTATGCCATATTCACCTATATCCTGTTGTGCAGCTCCATGTGTGCAAGGCAAAGATGTAGTTATCATCAGCAAATTGCTGTTGATTAAAGATAAATCGCTGCTGATTAAAGGTGATTTTGAGGTGCACGCAACTTGTACACAATGACAACATTACTTTTGCAAACGTGGAGCTGTGCAACAGGATTTCAGCCACTGCATAAAAAGATCAGTTATTTTAGATCAGGTCTAGCAGTTTTCCTTTCCCACAGGAGAAAATCTTTTGTAAAATTGTCAGTCTGTCTTATAACTTATCTTCACCCTGTTGTATAGATGGCTGGTTATGAACTAAATATTCTGTGCTAATCTGCTGTCTTACAAACAGGGTGAGGATGGTGAGTCAGATTCCATAGCATAACAAGTACACTCTGGATTTTTATTGGAACTTTAAAGGAACAATCCAGGGGGCTGGACGTATTTTGGAGGATGAGTTCAGCATCTTGGATAACAGTTGTAAATTTTGGAGCAAAACCCAGAACAGCATTATTGAGGAAGACATGTCCCCATTCTCTGGCTGAGGTTTCTGTTGCAAAAAGAGAACAAAGTGCATCTTAGTAAAAAATGATAAAACTTTTATTGATTTCAAAAGCAGGAAAATCACTAAGGAAATAAATAATAATAAAACAGTTGTTCTTTTATAGCTCTAAGTGGTAATTCCAAAGTCCTAACTGGGCAAACAGGAATGCATAAAATAAAACCATAACACTATGCAGCTACCAGGAAAGCGTCTCTGTTCAGGAAATGTTTTGATTTAAAATAGTGCTCCTTTTTGACCTGACCCTGCAAATACAAACTTTCCAGATCTGCACTCATGCCCAAATATGATCAATTCCACATTCTCTCTCCCCCCCCCCAATTCCTCTCTCTCTCTCTTTCTCTTTTCCCCCTCAGCATCACAACTTCTCCCAAAGTTGGCGTCCCCACCCTTTGCAATCTCTGTCTTCTTTACAGTGTTACAGAGACTGGCAATGTCCTGTTGCCTTATTTTGTGTGTGCCTTACTTACTTATATCTTACAACAGAAGGACTTTTGGTTTATCCCTCCCCTTTGGAGAGAAAAGCATTCAGGTGCCATATTTTACAGAGATGTGTGTATTCGTGTTTCTGGACCAGAGCTTTGCTCCAGAATGGTGCTGAGAAGCCGTACTGCAGTCCCCTGCCTATTCTTATAACCTCCCATTATTCCTTTGCAGCCTGTGGCCACCCCCAGGTGTCCCTCCCTCGAATCTTTGGTGGGGAGAAGGCTGAGATAGGAGAATGGCCATGGCAGGTCAGCATACGAAAACTCAGGAAACACACATGCGGTGGAAGCCTGATTTCACCCCAGTGGGTGGTGACAGCAGCTCGTTGTTTTAAAGGGTGAGTTCACATTAGGTCAAAGTGACACTACCTTTTTTTTTTCTTTAGAGAGAATGCACACAGCAGGGCACCAGCAGAGGGTGATAGTTGGGCAGTGGCGCAGAGCAGGAGGAGGCTTAGAGTTTGGTTGGAGATTCTGTGTGCTGTAGTCCGAAAAGCTGGCCTCTGACTATTTCATTAGTGCCAAAACAATGTAATTAAAAAATGTCGGATTCACCATTTTAAGATCTCTAACTATTTCAATGTGTCCCTGATTTAGGATTAATTTACAAGTGTGATGATGAATGATCTCACTGACTAGGAGTACCTATTGCAGTAAACTAATAACACTGAGTGATCATTGTAAAATTGGCTGATGCATTATAGCCTGGGCTTTTATGGATTACTATCCACTTGCTAGGATTTATGGATTATAGTCTTAAAGTTTCAGATAAAAATTAGGTCTGCATACTGTTCTTTCATAGAATTATAGAATCATAGAATGATGAAGTCGTAAGGGGCCTGGAAAGCCAATAACAGTGGTTCCTCACATTACGACTGCTCCATTTTATGACGAAATCGCTTTACGTTGAAGGTTTTGCGATCGCAAAAGCGATCGCAAAACAATGTTTCCTATGGGGGAATTTCGCTTTGCAATGATCGGTTCCCTGCTTCGGGAACCGATTCTCGCAAAGCGATGATTTTCGGGCAGCTGATCGGCAGTTTCAAAATGGCCGCCGGGTAAAAAACATGGCTCCCTGCTGTTTTCTGGGATGGATTCCTCGCTGCACAGGCAGCGAAAATGGCCACGCTATGGAGGATCTTCGCTGGATGGTGAGTTTCAAGCCCCTAGGAATGCATTAATCAGGTTTTTATGTGTTTCTATGGGCTTTTTAATTTTGCATTACGACGTTTTCGTTCTATAGCGATTTCGCTGGAACGAATTAACGTCGTAATGCGAGGCACCACTGTAAGTCCAACCCCTTTCTCGATGCCAAAATAAATCAAAGGATGTCTGCCAGGTGGTTGCCTAAATTTCGCTTGAATGCCTCCACCTCTCAAGGTAATTGGTTCCACTGCTATACTGCTCTAACAGTTAGGACATTTGTCTTGATATTTAACCAAAATCTGTCTTCCTGTAACTTGAGCCCATTTTTGTGTGTCCTGCACTCTGGGGTGATTGAGAACAGATCTTGCCCCTCCTCTGTATGACTTGAAAAGTGCTATCATATCTCCTCTCTTTTCAAGGCTAATCATGTCCAGTTCTTTCAGTCTTTGGACAAATGTGTAAATACACACTAAACCAGGAATGACCAGGAGGTGGAACAAAGAGCTGTTGATCACCTGCAGGGTGGAGCAATGCTGCTATGGATCTGTTTTGTTGAATCTGGCACTCACATACCGTGATTAGAACACCCGGCTTCCTGCACTGCAATTTTAAGGATGAATAGAAAATGCCTGTGCCCATTGCCCTTTTAAATCCTCTCCCTGACTCCCTTCCCACTGGTGCCCTTAGGAAGCTGATTCCACCTCTTGGCAGGCGGAATGAAAGTGCTAAAAATAGGAGAGAGTGCCAATGCTGCCCTTCTGCCATTCCTGCATGATTCCGTCTATGACCTGGTATTGCCTGGGGTTTTTTTGGACCCTGGGGATTCTAGGAGCTGAAGTTCAGTTGGCATTTTCTCATCCTCCCAAATCAGGACTTCATGGAGAATGTGAAGTACACAAACGCTTTCACAGAGGTGCCTGTGGGTTAGGTTAGTCAAGTGCATCACAGAAAGGACACTGGGTGTTTTGACCCTGCTTTATGTGCTCTTTAATATGGAAGAGAAACCAATTAAATAAATAATAACAAAAAAGCATTAGGAGTGTATGTTGTGGTTAGGGCCCTCCCAAGTTATTTTGCTGCTGGAGGCAGATAATAATTTGCATCCCCATCTCTTGGCCAAGTTGCCGAGTACAGGAGGCAGAATATTCCAAAAACACCTTTCCGCCACCCTGACAGTGAAAATGAAACTTTAATATAGTAAATAACAAACAATTTGCAGTCCTTCTGTGATACAAACATTTGGCTGCCTGAGGTAAGCATCTCCCTCTGTCTAATACTAGGGATTGTGCCAATTCTCTTCAATTACTTTCCCTCTTCAGTTTCGAAGTGAATTCTAGAACATGTCTTTAGGGCAAAAATCCCCACTGAGACCGACTTTCTGATAAACATGGCCTTGCTCAGAGAGATCTACTGTAAATATTTTTCAGCCTACCCAATTTTTTACAGTGATTTAAATTTCAATCAGCTAGCAAACAACCCTTTGAGGTAGACCAAATTACAGCATTTCCCCAAGAGCTTTCTTGTGAACTTTAGGACTGGTCAGACTTTGAACATCAGCCTTTTGTTGTGTTAGGCACTTATTTTAACTTGCCTTCTGCAGACCACTGAATCCATCCGATTACCGAATAAACCTGGGGGAATATGAGCTCCCGAAACCTGCTCCCAGCATGATCTCATCTGCCATCAGCCAAATCATAGTGCACCCTTATTATGCCGGAGATGCTCAAAGTGCGGACATTGCCTTGGTACGGCTGGAGAAGCCAATCAATTTTTCCCGAACCATCTTGCCGATCTGCCTTCCAAGCAGTTCTGACATAATCCCTGTGAATACGTCATGCTGGGCCACCGGCTGGGGCAAGTTCTTTTCAAGTAAGGATGAGTTTGGGAATGTATGTATGTGTTTGGGGGAGATGGCATGGAGTGCTTGGGAAAGCTTGGGAAAGTCAAGTTTTGGATTACAACTCCCAAAATCCTGGTCATGGTAGCTGAGGGATTCTCGTAGTTGACTCACCAAATCCCCACTGATTGAGTGGGCCTCCTCTAGTTGAACCTTCTACTCATTTTCATTCAATGTCTTCTTTCAAAGGCTGTAGTAATAATGGAAATAGAACCTGCAACCACCTTTTGCAGTGTATGCAAACCTTCTGCATTCTTGCAATGGGCCAGCCGTTCCCTTTTCTGGGAGCTTCCTTTCCAACTCTCCTATATTTTTCTTTTCCCATCAGCACTCTCAGCCTGGCCCCTCTTGCATTTGGAACTGGCTGTCTCTTTCCAACTTTTCTCAGCATGCACCAAATTTCACTTGACATTTCCCCCTTCTCTGGGAAAATGATGCCAAACTTGTGAATTTTTTTAACCAGCCAGATAATTGTGCACTCTAAACCAGTTAATTCAGAGCTGGGGAAAGTTTACTTTCGAAATAAATCTGCTAGAATGACTGAAGGATTCTGGGAATTATGATCTGTAAAGGAGAGTTTTCCAAACACTGGGAAAACTACAAAAGGAGCCCAATATCTGCTGGGTATTTGTTCTATAATATTTTCAGGCTGTGGATAAGTGAATCGGTGGATACTGAATCCGTGGATAATGGGGACCTACTGGTTAATTTTTTTTATAACATCACTCACATTGCCTTTTTAGAATTCTATTGACAGCAGTGAGAAAGACTACATTTCCCAGAATATCCTAGGTGGCATGGCTAAGGACCATGCTGGGAGACATGTTCTTAGATTTGTGGTCTAAAAAAGTAGCTTCCAGATCACTTTTAATGGGAAGTAACTAATCCACATGCAGACAAAGTGTCTTTTTTAAAATACCAGCTTCTATAATGGCTCGGATCCTGCAAGAGGTTGAAATTCCGATCATAGACAATGAGGAATGTGATAATATGTACCATCAAAAATCTGATGTCGTAGCCATGCCAGAGGGCTACAGATTGATCTATGAAGACATGATCTGTGCTGGATATGCTGAAGGAAAGAAGGACACCTGCCAGGTAAGAACAGTACACCAAAGCTGCCGTGTAGCAAAAACAGCAAATACCAGAAATGGGGCTCAGAAGCTAGAACTTCAGAAGAATTCTCAGTTAACAGTCAACAGGACAAAACCAAACTTAATTTCAAGTAAACATTGTGTTTAAACAGATCTAGCTGGGTGTTTTCCCAGACTTTGGCATTGCATATGTTTTGGACCCCAGCTGACTGAGGCTGCAGCTGCCATGCTCCAATAGTCAGCAATGCTGGAAATTGAAATCCAAAATATGTAGAGGATACTGAATCAACATATTGAGTTCAAACCACTGTGCTATAAAGACAAAGTAAATATTTTTCACATTATCATAGAGCCATTATCCTTTGCAATTTTAATGGTTTTGTCTTACCCTTGATGATGATGGTCTTAGAAATAGAGAGCTGGAAGGGACCTTATGGATCATCAAGTCTGTCCCCTGTCAAGGAGGCACAGTGGGGAATTGAATTCCCAAACTCTGGCTCAATAGCCAGATACCGAAACCACTAAACCAACATCCTTGGCCTTTTTTCCTTTGTTAGTGAGAAATAAGGAATGGCTCCGTAATCACTACCAAGATGATCGTGGTTGAGAAAGAGTTTCAGATTAAGTTTCCATAGGCTAATAGTAGACTCACTATAGGCATTGGCCCATTCTCCATTTTCCTTCCTGAAATAATAAAAAAACAAGGTGCCTCTGAGTCCAGTCTTAGTATATTATGATTATTACTTTGTGGCAGGATGCAGCCAGCCACTCCTTCTCTACTTCTGGCAGTCTTCTCCAACCTGGTGCCCTTGAGATGGGACAGATTACATTGTCCATCATGTCCAGATAGTGTGGCTAATGAGGCGATGCACCACCCACCATGAAGTCTAATTGTCTTTCCTCTTCCAGGGTGATTCAGGGGGGCCTTTGGCCTGTGAACTGAATGGTACTTGGTTCCTGGCTGGAGTGGTGAGCTTTGGATTCAAATGTGGATTTCCAAATCGACCGTCTGTATACACTCGAGCCACCTCTTACGTGCACTGGATTCAGAACACTATGGCGCAGAATGGAGTCCCCAGAGATTGTGGCAGCTGGCTCACCCTCTTGCTCTCGCTCCTTCTCTTGGGCTCCACCAACATGCTCTTGTGATGTGCCTCGCTTTTGCCTATTGCATTTCAGAACAGTCGTGCAGAATCACTAATCAAACCTGATGAACCCCAGTGGTAATCTTGAGTGATCCAAACTCAGTGATAATTTTGAGTTTACTGATCATTATCCAGGACTGATCTTCATATGATGAGCTTTTGCAGGAGATAGTCAAAGAAATTATGATGCCTTTTATTTTGTCAGCTTGATTGCCTACTTGTTTACTAGATGACTGGGTCTAATAAAGAAAAGGAGTTGAAGCTGTAGCCTTGCTGGCTGGAAGAGTGAGAGAGTTTTACTCCAGAAAAGGGACAAGTTCTGGCTCCTTCTCATCCAAATAATGAGCTAGTTCAGGGTAGCATTTAGGCCTGATGACCTATTCAGCCTTTTTTTGTAGCAGGTTCTCAAAATCTGACTAACCTGCTTGTCCTATCGTAGTTCTCTTGTTACGAAACGTGTTTCCTTTTCGCACATAGAAATGTATGTGTATTTTTCAAAATGTATATATTTTTGCACAGATTTATCAGTGTACATGTTTTTTTCACCTGAAAAAATCTTGTTTATGAAATTATAGACATATAAATATATATAAATTTGTTTGTGTGAGTGTTTTGCATACTTATTTTTCTCTGACGTAATGTAGCGGGCTTGTCTTGGGCATGTATGGATTTCTAATACTGGATGTTATATGTGATGCAGTTGCCCAGTTTTGCTTTGCTTATGAAGGAGGGCATTGGAGGATTATTTGCATTTTGTGGTATTTGCATTTATTTACATGAGCATTCAAAATATCCTCACCTACGGTTTCCTCAGTTTCAGTCCTAGGGCTGAAGACACAGTACATTTAACATATTAGAAATAAAGCTACCTTAAGAGGCAAAGATTGCTTGTTCATTCTAACACGAGCTTGCTTTAATTTGCTAATTCTGCTGCTTTTGTTTTTTAATTGGTCAGCTGGGATGGCATGGTTTCTGTGCTTGATATCTTGGGTACAGAGACCTGAAAGATTCCTGTGCCTATAAGGATAATGATGAAATAAGAAATAAGCAATTGAATTAAATTGTCATGTGACCCTCTCCCAGCCACCATAACCAATGGGGAGGAATTCTGGGAGATGTGGTCCAACAAGATCAAGATGTCTACGCTTGGTTTACAAAAACAGGCTGAAAATAGGGGGACTGATGTAAGCACAGCCTAAACAGTAGGCAACCAGTGTCTATGGTTTCTATAACAGACTGACAGAGAAAGTATTGGGTACTTTCAAATGCTTCCAGAGGTCCCATTTTGGGACACTGGGCACCTTTTCTTCCTTTTGGACAGCCCAAGGTTCAGCCAGCACTGGGACTTGAGAGATCTCCATTTTTGTCCCCTGTAAGGCTTGGTAACTCCTTGAATGATTTTGAGCCAGTCATTCTGTCTCTCATTGAGCACTGCCTTGTCAAACCTTTATGGGTGGCACCTGATTTCCACAGGAGTCCTTTAAAGCAGTGATCCCCAACCTTGGGCCTCCAGATGTTCTTGGACTTCAACTCCCAGAAATCCTGGCCAGCAGAGGTGGTGGTGAGGGCTTCTGGGAGTTGTAGTCCAAGAGCATGTGGAGGCCCAAGGTTGGGGACCACTGCTTTAAAGACTTCCTTGGCAAAGAACAGACACCCACAGTTCCTCATAGCTGACAGTGGAAGATTAATCCCAGGATGAAATCAGACATTCAATGTCCAAATTCATCTGGACATCTAAGTATTTGTGTTTTCTTTGTTGCAATAATTCGAGGCAATTTCAAGGCTTGTTTATTCCACAAGCCTTTTTTTATTTCTACATAGCTTCTAGGTTCCATGTTTCAAAAATAGCAAGACCAAAATATTTTGAAGACAGTTCTAAGCTGTTTCCACTGAAAAGTATTATGAGGATTAGGGGTAAGCATGATGGGGAAAAAATCTTTTTTGTTTCAGTTTGGGTATTTTGGCAGTGTTTGTGTGTGTCTCCTTCATTTCACATACTTCGTTCATGGATCCTCTCATTAAACATGTAAGGGAGCATCTCTTTGAGGTTCTATCATTTTGCTTTTCCCCACAAGTTTTGTAGACTCTCCTTATGCTGGGCTTGTGGCCTGTCATCACTTTCAAATTTATCTGGATCAATATTTGCCCTTTAAGGGAGTGTGGAAAGTCAACACAGACCTAACCGGATGCCGGCCACAGAGACTGGCGAAACGTCAGGAAGAACAACCTTCAGAACACGTCCAAAGAGCCCGAAAAACCCAGAACAACCATTAGATCCCGGCCGTGAAAGCCTTCACGAATATGCAGACCTAACCGCTTGCCTTCCAAAGTTTGCACCATAGATTAAAGCAAAAGATAGTCTTTGGCTTAGATTATCCCCCAATAAACTATGTAGCTGATAGAGGCCCTTCCTGTCCCTGCTCAGAACATGTCAGTGACCACACACTGTTTCTTTTGCCTTTTTTTAAAAAATAGAGGTGAAATTTCAGCCCATTCTATTCTTGCTGGAATGATTTCCATTTGTTTCCAGATTGTGAGTGCACCAGGGCTCACTGGTTAGCTCCTTCAACATAATGGCAGCTATTCTATTGTGGCTATTGCTCTTTGAGCATCTCTGCCCCACTGTCTGCCATCTGATAGTCTCAAATAGATGTACCATAGCTGAGCTAGGCTTTCAGCTGTATTGGGATAACCAGTGGTGGATCTGTGTTTATCTCGAGCAGCATTAGCTGCTCATCTTTTTTTTTTAAATATGAAGTGATCCTGAGTAGTTTGTTTATTATTTATTTATTTATTTATTTATTTTATTTTATTTTATTTTATTTTATTTTATTTTATTTTATTTTATTTTGTTTATATCCCACCTATCTGCCTGCGCAGTGATTCATTGTCTGGAAGTGGAGGTCTGCAATGTAGTTTATGACATGGTGAGGCGAGAGATAGGTAGATACTTTTATTTAATAAGTTTTCAGACCATTTCAAATTCAAATATAATACATGCAAGCTAATAACAAAAAATAACAGTAAACATCCAACTCCCAAAAGATTAAAATGATAAAATGTTAAATTATGTATGCAATTTAGTTAGTCAATTAGTAAAATAAACTTCAATTATTCCAAAAATGTTACATGGCTCATTTAAACATTTTTTTTCCTTCATCTTTCTTCCTGAGAGTGGTGCTTTAACCATTAAAAGTGCAACTCATGGCAATAGGAATAAATTCTGGCAGTGAGAGTGTTCTGATTGGCTGCTGACAGCAGTCCCCATGACATTATCTTATCAAATATTTCCTAGGTAATTAAACGGAGACTGGAGAAAGGACAAATAAAAAAGGGAAAAGAAAGAGAAAAGAAATTTCTGTTTACACACTTTTGTTTAAACAAACCATTTGTTGTCAGAGGCTCTTTTTTGGGAGCCAATTAAAAAAAGGAAATAAAGAAATCCTCTTTCATGATATTTTGTTTTTGTTTTTGTGTTAGCACAAAAGTCCCATCCCTAATGAGGATTGTTGAATACCAAAAAAAGAAAATGTAGGTCTCTTGCACATTTAATAATTATGTAGAAGAGAAAATTTCAGCAAACAATTCACACCGATTGAAATGTCCTCTTCTATATCATTGCTAAAGGAAAGGTAAAGGTAAAGGTAAAGGTTCCCCTTGACAATTTTTGTCCAGTCGTGTTCGACTCTAGGGGGCGGTGCTTATCCCCATTTCCAAGCCATAGAGCCAGCGTTTGTCCGAAGACAATCCTTCCGTGGTCACATGGCCAGTGCGACTTAGACACGGAACGCTGTTACCTTCCCACCGAGGTGGTCCCTATTTATCTACTTGCATTTGCATGCTTTCGAACTGCTAGGTTGGCGGGAGCTGGGACAAGCGACGGGAGCTAACTCCATCGCGTGGTTTCGATCTTACGACTGCTTGGTCTTCTGACCCTGCAGCACAGGCTTCTGCGGTTTAGCCCGCAGCGCCACCACGTCCCCATTTGCTAAAGGAACTGAAGCTTTACTCTCTTTTGGCCATTGTAGTCTTTGTGGACCATCCATTTCATGCTGGTGCCTCTATCAGATGGTCGTGAGCAGAGATCTTGTGATTATTTAATGAAATGGAACATGTTAGATGTGAAATATACAATATCTGGAAAATTGGTTCTTATGGAGGTGGCAAATTTTAGGTGTTGTGGGAGAATCCTGGCCCATTATGGAAAACATGGAGAGGTGGGGATGGATGGGGGGGGATGGAAATGCTTGTGGAGCTGTATGTGGCCACTCTTGCAGAATAGGTTCTTTTGCGCATGACAAGAAGGCAGCTATGCATTGTGAGTGGACATAAAATATTGTTGTAATGTATTCCAAATGGAGTACGCTGTGCTAAAAGCATCCAAAACAGTTCTGCTTGTAAATCTGTTGCGAAGCTGGTCCACTTGCCGATTTTGGTCAAGCTTTACTTGTTAAACCCAAGTGGTATGGAGTAAAAAAATGCACTGACAGAGTGAACATACAAAGCATCTGTGCCTTCCACTTAAAGAATTGAGAAGCAGATAGAAATCTCCAAGTTAGTTGGGAAGACAAGATATTGGAGCAGTTGTCTGAAATAGGCCCCAAAACTTATTAAATGATTTTTAATCAAATGATCTTTAAACATTAAATCATTATCAAATGATTTTTAAACAATTTAAGTCAATAACATTGACTTGCCCTCATTAATCAGAACAAAACTATTCCTCCACTGCATGCAGCAGTTTGGGACACTACTAAACTGAGTCCAAAGAGCATTCTGAATATTCCACACCATTAGCTAGCAGACTGAAGACCGAAAGCTGAATATCTCACCAGAGAGTCAGTGCCAGAGAAATCAAGAGGAGTGTGATTGTAGGGGTATTTGAGAGCCCGCCGTTCATTTTCTCTTGGATCCAATCAGCGTAGTAAGGAACCGAAGTGTAGATGCCAGGGCGATTGGGTTGGGCACAGCCATCCCCCCAGCTCACAACCCCAGCCAGAATCCAAACTCCATCGCTTGGACACACCAAAGGTCCCCCAGAGTCACCCTGCAGAGAGAGATTGGCATTAGCCCATGGTTATGGTGCTGAAGATCAGAGTCGTACTAGTCAGCTATCCAGGGTTCGTGTTACATTGATGGAGCTCTGTGAAAATGCATCTGTAAAGGTACAGCCTCCGATTCTCATGAGGCTGAATGAGTGGGGTGGAGAATATGATTGCAATGCACAGCAGAATGGAGAGGGTGTAGTCACTGGACACCATCCCGCTATGTCCCCCCTTCATGCATACCCTTTGCACACATGGTGAGAAGGCACAAGAAGGGCACTTAGACCATTTTCAGCACTATGCAAGTCAAGGGTGGGGAACCTCTTTAATTTGTGGGGGCCTTTATTACGTGAGGGGGGCCACGGGGAAAGGCAAGACAGTGGGATGAAAAGTATCACCATTCTGCCGGTAAAGGCTTTTGAGCTCTTACTGGCAGAAATTAAACCTTGGAAGAGGCATTTTTCAACATTTTAGCATTGGGGGAGGGTAGGGGGAAATGTACAAAAGCCATCAAAGAGCGGCCTCATGGGAAAGAGGGCCCAAAAGACCAGTCTGGGAATTCAAGAGGGTCAGAACTGACTGAGCGGCCTCAGGGGCCCAACTCTGATACAAATACTTCCCTGTCTTAGATTACCAGGTCTACGTTTATTCAATTTTTATTTGATTTTGATCTTGAAAACAGTGTTTTCAATTAGTTGGCTACCGCACAAATCTTAATGTCATCATTATTATTTAAATAGAGCAACATTTGCAAATTAAATTGCAAAAGACTGCAAATTAAATTGCAAAAGAAGCATTTTGCTATGAACGAGGAAGAAGAGAGGGGAGGTGGGGAGAGACCTATTGCAAAATGAACCCCTTAAGACATTTAAAATAGGGGCGGGGAAAAACTTTTAGGTTTGGGAAGCCTGAATTCAAATTAGGAAGGGTCTCTGAGACTGCATTTCAGAAATGGGGGGGGCTTAAGGGCATGGGCGGTGGGGGCGAGGGCCAAGGAATAAGTTGCAACATTTGCATGGTAAGATGTCTCATCTGGAAGTAAGGAGATATGAATAGGACTCCTTTTTCGAGTAGGAACAGAGCATGGAAAGTTCCTTTAGAAAAGTAATTAGTTACAGTTTTATTAACATGACCCCGAAAGTACTCATGATTAACAGCAAAAGAGTAATTATTTGGAACTGGTTATTCCAGTCTTGAAGTAGGAATATACATCTATACAGTACTTTTAGTTCTTGTGAAGCTAGGAGTGTCCTCAGCACTTTCCACTGCTCTGTAGGCTATAGCACTATGAAAAGACGGTTTCAGAGTTTCTTACCTGACATGCATCTTTCTTTCCTTCTTCATAACCAGCACACAGCATATCAGGCTTGATAGGATTCATGCCAAATTCTTCATCTGGGTTAATGTTATACATAGCATTGCATGTCTCTCGGTCAATGAGTGGCACCTCCAACTCCTGAAGGGTTTTCGGACTTTCCAAGGGGTCTATAAAGGGAGGAGAAGTTTGCTTTGTTGGAATGCAGAAGTGGGAAACTTAGGGTGCATTCAGACACTCATAGCTCTAACGCTAGGAAAAGTGCACTCAGCACCAATAGTGTTTCTGCAAATTCAGACATGGTGAATAATCTGCAATACAAAATGTGTTCATTTTCTGGTGAACAATCCTACTGACCACCAGAATAATAATGTTTACTTATATTGTGCTCTACACTAGAGTGCATTCCAAGTGGGATTATCACTAGGTTGGCCATACTGGGAGGGGTACTAGAATTCTTAGTAGGTTCAGGAAATACAAAAATTGTGCTCTACACTAGAGTGCATTCCAATTAAATCAACCACAAGTGGGATTATCATTAGGTTGGCCATACTGGGAGGGGAACTGGAATTCTTAGTAGGTTCAGGAAATACAAAAAGTGTCCGCTGAAGCCTAACTCTAACCCTGAACCAAACTACAACCTTAATTGTAATTCTAATGCTTGCATTGAAGTCCCACGGAGGTCAGCTAATACTCCAAACCCCATCCAAGGCCTGCTTACCAGCTCACTTTGAATACAATAACATGGATATTGCGTAACTTTCTGCACCGCCATTTTTGTCTGCATGTGTGCAGCATATTTGTTATCTAAAACCCAGAAAATGAGCTGTCCTGCAGCTTGCTCGTCAGACTTCTTGGAAAACTTGGCCTCACTCCTTCTTCACTGGCTGGGCCAAAAAAGCAGTCTCCCAATGAACCTCTCTCAATGGCCATAAGCAATAGGTTGGTGGGGACAGTTTTTTTTTTCTTTCAGATAGCTTTCATCTGGGGAAAACATCCACACCAATTAGCTAAAGCATTTTAAACAACTACTGTATTCAAGTGATAGTGTTGTAACACAGTGGTTCCCAGACATGGGTAAAAAAGTGCTTTTTTTAAACCAAGTCACATGACTTTGGACTGCAACTCCCAGGAGCACTGGCCAGCACACCTGGTGGTGAAGGCTTCTGGGAATTGCAGCCCTCTATTGGAATATGTCCAGTACTTTGGCCATCTCATAAGAAGAGAAGACTCCCTGGAAAAGACCTTGATGTTGAGAAAGTGTGAAGGCAAGAGGAGAAGGGGACGACAGAGGATGAGATGGATAGTGTCACCGAAGCAACCAACATGAATCTGACCCAACTCCGGGAGGCAGTGGAAGACAGGAGGGCCTGGCGTGCTCTGGTCCATGGGGTCACGAAGAGTCGGACACGGCTAAACGACTAGACGACGATTGGAATATGTCTGCCTTGCAAGTCTAGTGCATTCTGCCATAAAATGTGACTCTGGGGAACTCAAACATCCTGGTGCAGGAGAGTTAAAAAGACACTCACAAAACAGCCACACAAACAACTTTCCATGCAGCTTGGCCCTCAGGAGAGAAATGAAAACAGCAAAACATGCACCTCTTGTTTTTCCTCACCGTTTTCTCCTATTTTTCCCCATCCAGTGACCGAACAGTTTGTTCCGGAGGGGAACTCTGTGGAGGAGTGTGGCAGGCAAACAGGGAGGATGTAGTCAGTGAAATTCACGGGGGATGTCAGCTTTAATAATGCCAGGTCTCCACTGGAGCCATCATGACCATTGAAATCTGGATGGGGGATAATCTGTTGCACTGTAGAGGTCACAGAGTCTGATGAGGGGTTCATGAGCTGATAGACCCCAAGCTGCACGTCATAGTCTACAGCATATCTGAAAACACAAGGGAAATGCAGGAACATTCATCAAGATCCATACGCTGAAGACATTCAAGATCCCTAAATTTAGAAATTTATTCCCCTTCAACCTTTTCACAGGTTTAACCAGCGTTTATTTTGGGATCCTTGAAGATGTGTTAACCAGGGGTGGGGAGTCAAGGTGGTGTGTGGGCATACTGGGGACTTTGGGTTTTTTTAAAAAAAGGTTATTATTCTTTTAATTTTTGTCCTTAATTTACCAGCATGGTTTTAAAAATTTTTTTATAATAATTGTACGTATATACAAAATACAACTAAAAAACCCCATACATACACTCAAAGTGCAACCCCCACAGACCAATGGACACATTCTATTATTTATTTTATGGAGCCCTTTTCCCATTCCAAAAATACATCGACTCTTCTGGAAGTACACAACCCTTCCTTTTTGTTAGTACAAAATCAATAAATTCTCCCTATATATCTCTAAATGCTGTATATTCTTATGTGACAGTCTTTTTCTTACTTTGGTATTACATGTCAATTTATCATTAATAGCTATATTCCACACTTCTTTATACCATTCATTTGCTATTGTTAATTTAGCTGCTGTTACTAAATTTATAATCAATTCTTTCGTCCAATTCCATCCTTCACCCTCAAATATCGCTATAAGTGCTTATTTAGGACATATTGCCAAATTTAGCTTTAATATTTTGCTTATCTCTTTAAAAACCAACTTCCAAAACTTTGTTATATATGTATTCACATTCCCACCACACATGGAAGTAGGTTCCTACCCCTGCTCATATCTCGGAATATTTTTTTGTCCATACAATTCAATTTCACTGGTTTTAAGCACAATTTCCAAACCAATCTGTAAAAAAATTATTTTATTCTTAGACATATATTTTAAAATTCTTTTCTTCCATATATTCTTCCACTTCTCAAAACTTATTTCCTCTCCTAAATCAGCTCCCATTTCATTTTTAATACCTCTTGTTGATCCTCTATTTTTCCTATTCCTCCTTTCATTCTGTTCCTCCCATTCCCTTTTTCTTTCTGTAATACATTTTCTTCAAATTTTGTAAACACTCTACATTCACCTTTTCTTTTCAACCATTCTCTAATCCAGCATCCCAGCTGAATAACATTAAACCATGATAACTTTTCCATTCCCAGTACTTCTATTATTTGTTCTTTACTGCCCATCATTTCCATCCAATCTTTTATTCTAATAGCCTGTTTCCTCTTTACTATCTTCTCTAAACCTGCTTTCACATTCCCTGGAAAATTCTGTTATGACATGTAATGGGGAGATTGATGGAATAAATATTGTTCTGTATCTGTTCCATATTTGTATCATATTCTTAAGAAATGGATTTTCAATCTTCTTTACAATACTAATATTATTTTGTCTAAAGAGAATAGGTTCCAGGTCGCTACCAACTTCATTAAATTCCAACTTTGACCAATACCAATTCATTAGGTTGTGTTATAATATCCACACTATATCTTATTTCACTAGCTATATAATTTTAGATTAGGTAGGCCTAAACCTCCTAGTTTTTGGTTTTTATACCAATACTTTTAATTGATGCTTGCTTTTTTAAAAAATCACTGTTACAAAAGGTATCAATTATATTTTGCCAGTCTTTCAAATCATCCTCTGACAACTTTACTGGTAACATCATAATTTTTTTAAGGTAATATCTTCATTTTATGTGTTGCTATTCTTCCAAACCATGATAGTCCTTTCCTTCTTAGTTCTTTTATTTGATCTTTAATGTCTTGGTTCAACTGATCAAAGTTTTCTTTTTAAAACATAATAAACTTTTCATAGAAGGCTTTTAATTGAAATAATATTAGCTGTGGGTCTGATGGCAATTTTTATATATATTTTAATTGTATTTTAATTGTTTTAAATTTTATTGTATTTTAAATGTTGTAAGCTGCCCAGAGACCTTTGGGTAGTGTGGGCGGCATATAAATTAAACAAACAAACAAACAAATAAATAATGTTTGTGCCTAAATACTTAATACTTGTACATATTTTAACCTTAAAACTTTCCCTGATTTTTTCCTTTTCATCTTTAACATGATTAAACAACATCATCTTTGACTTCTGCCAATTTATCTGTAGACCCGTCACTTTCTTAAATTCTTTCAAATGTAGTTTGACCTGATGCATAACTCTCAATGGATCCTCTATTGTTAATAACGGATCATCTGCAAATAAGATAATCTTAAACTTATCTTTAATACCTATCTGCTTTATTAAATTATCCTGCCTAATAGCATTCACCAATATCTGTATTACTAGTGTAAATAATATCAGGGAGAGGGGACATCCATATTGGGGACTTTTGTAGGCTACACACAGCTGTTGGATCACCTAATGCCCATCTCTGCTGTAGAGCTCATTCTATGGAGCTTTTCAAGCTTTCATTACCACCTGAAAGGGTGGTTGAAGATGTTAAGGGGTATACAAAGGAGGAGAAAGGGGTGGAACAAGATCAGTGAGTGTGCTGGAGTTTTATTTACAACCTGACATGTTGTTTGCCGCTTGAGTGACTAGAAGGAGTTTTCTGGCTGGGGTGATTGTCTATCCATCCAGCTAATCATTCTGTCCAGCTTTTGAATTCACAGAGATCCTCACTTCTCTGCTGAGTATCCTACCCCTTTTTTCTGGTGGCAGTTGTTTGTTTGCTGTTGATCTGTTCAGTTGGTTGTTAGTATGTGTGCAGTATACACAAGTCTGTAATTTCAAGCAAATGCAAGTAAAAAAAATTGTGTTTTATTCTTTCTCCTACAAATGTCTCAGAGTGCATTATTGAGATTAAGTACCAGTTAGTGAAAATGGGGTGGACTCTGAGAAGATTTCTAGCTTTTCTCCTCTGTCGGTTTCTATACTACTGAGCAACAAAGGAGAATTTTAGTACAAATTCAAAATTCTGCAACAGAATGAATGAGTCAGGGATGAAAACAGTGGTGGCTGCAGCATATCTGCCACCTCAGGCAGCTTGGGTTCCTACTTGGCCTCACCACAACAAATATCTGATACTTACGGAAAGCAGTGAGCTGCAGATAGCACCCACTGCTCAGCTATGAGAGAACCTCCACATATATGTTGACCGTTCATTGAAATGCTGACCTGCCAGGGCCATTCGCCTTCGGTGGCTGGCTGCCCACCAACAATTCGTGTAGATATAACTGGCTGCCCGCAGGCTGTGAAGAAAAGGGAGAGAAGAAAGGGTTTTATAACAGTGAGGATGGAAATGAATGCAGTATGGAATTCCTGCATGGACAGAAGTGGGAACCTTATCACCACTACACACAAACTCTCCATCTGAATTTACTTGCACATTGTATTACAATTTTCAAGCAACATTTCCAGTGATGGGGGCCAGGGAATATTTTTCTGGCAAGTCAATATTGAGAATGAGTACACTAATTTTTTTTTTTTTTTACAGAACTAGATTTGTGATGTAGCACTATAGGACCACAGTACCTTCTAGGACACTGCCATCTGAGCAGGAGGAAATAGTATCCCTACATTTCGGTTACTTGATTGTTTTTACAGTTATTGCTCAACAACCAAAATTTCCATAAATTCCATAAATCTACTATCCCCACCACTATAGGGGGACCTTTTTTGTCCCTCCCAATCTAAGAAAAAAAATCCATATCTTTTGGTGTGTGTGGGAGATATAGCAAAAACAACAGTCCTGAGGTACTTAAAAAAATTATAAAAGGTTTAATTGGGTTTAAGCCTCCGTGGACCCTTCATGGGTAAAGTATGCTAAATACAACCTTTCTAAGGTGCCACAAGACTCCCCCTTGTTTTATCACAGGGAAGAACATCTTCTTTACAGCAGAACTTGAAAATAACACGTTAAGTGTAACAACGTTACCTGTCAGTCATCACACCACTCTTTAAGGTAACATTATCCTTTTTTTTTAACAATTTAATTTTAATGTTGCCATGGTGGGGTTTAGGCAGTAATGAATGATATGCACTTATTCCAAAAAGCTGGCCAGAATCCTACCAAGGTTCAGATAAGATTTGCATACCATGCTGTGGCTAAATGTGGCAAATTGATGAGGTGCTGGGGCACATCTCAATGGCATGCCTGGTCAGGTGTCCAGTTGTGCAACCCAGTGGTACCATGGTACTTCATCAATTAGCTGCATTTAGCCATAGCTACTTACACAGACCTTAGGTGAACACAAACAGTATTCTGACTGTTAATGTTTTTAGAGGGATTCTGGAGGATTTGGGATGTTTTTGGCCATCTTCTATGTTTAAAAACTATTTTAAAAATTAATGTAAATATAATGTTAACCTGCACCAACCTTAATGTTAAAATGTTGTAAAAATGCCAAAGTAATGGCTAACACCAACTTACTATATATTTTGGTTAATGTTTGCTAGCTCTGGTCTTAAGATGTAAGGTTAACCTTGTAAAATGTACAGTTTTAATAGTCTCTGGTTTTGTTTATTTCCGCCTCTGCTTGCCTATGAAATTTCTATGCAGAATTGATTTCTGATATCATAGCTTACCTGCTTCTGAGCTAGTAGTACCTGGAGAGAGAGAGAGAGAAAGAGAGATTGAGATTGGGATGGGGGCATTGGAAGCAAAAAATGTTATTTCCCATAAGACACATTAGAGAAAAAAGAACTCAGCAAATTTGACTTGTCTGTAAAGCAAAGCGCGCTTTTTATATACCGCTCCATAGCACTTCACACACTCTTTGGGTGGTTTACAATTATGCAGGCTACACATTACCCCTTCCCCCCTCGAGTTGGGTACTCATTTTATCGACCTTGGATGGAAGGCTGAGTAAACCTTGAATTGGTTACCTGGGATTGAACCCCAAGTCATTCGAATAGTTTTGGCTGCAGTACAGCCATGAGGCTTCTGAGGAAGTGAGAAGAGAGAGAACTGCTTCCCCCAGCCCCAGTTCCCCTTCATTTGCAAGCAACAGAGACCTTTGTAGCTCAACACATCCAGAGGGGATCAAGCTCCCCCAACCTCAGTCCTCTCCTGGGTTTGGGTGACACAAAAATACCTGTATGTCAAATGCAATAGATTTCCTACAATAGTTTTTTACCCAGGTTATTTTGGGTTTTTTCTTCTTCCCATAAATACAGCCACACACGACTACACATCCACTCACCCTATACACACCAAATGGGAGAAACACGATACCATAATGTTAAAGCTCTTCAGGTGATGATATCATAGAATATGTAATTTTTAGGGTCTAGTTCCTGGCTGATTTTGCAATTAAATATAACCCAACGGAATGAAAATGTCCCGCCTTGGTGCTTGGGGTGTATGAAACAGCTAGAGTGGCTAAGGCAAAGGGAAAACTGAACAAAATATCATTGCAGTTTCAGGTGAAGATAGGCATCGATCCTAAGAGTGTAGCATTTCAGGGTTTTTTTTTGTTGTTTAATTTTCTGTTTGGACACAAAATTTTCCTGATTTAAAATGGTCTTATTTCTCTTCACCATTTAGTTCCATGCCTCAGGGATAGTAATCTCTCTCTCTCTCGCCACTCTATAACTAGCTTTCTGTACCTTTGGCTTTTGGGACATTTGAGAAATGTCTTCAGGAGCCCCTCCTGCCCCATTTCTTTCTTTTAGATATTGAAATCCTGGAATATAAGATATAGGAAAGGAGGCCTCTCCCTCACACTACCCCACAGGAATCCCTTTGGGCTTGATGGCCAGAAGACCTCCTTCTCCCATCTCCATTTTACCTCCCTGATAAGCATAAGAAAACGTAGACCGTTGCCATCAGCACCTGCCCTCCACAATGTCCACCCACACCATCACCTTGTAGCATTGTCAACTGCAGTAGCCACACCACGAGTTGGGAGCGCAGGATAAGCATAATTCCCCTGCCCACTTCCGTTTTCAGGGTCTTGTTTTGAGTCGTAGTCCAAATTTTGCTCTGATCAGTTTCAGGTGAAGTCGTTTCCTTCGAGGCTTAGTGTCTGTGGTATAACACTTCATACCAAAGGTGAAAGGGTAGGGCTTACTGTATTTCCTCGTTCCTGAGTTGGATATTGCAGCCTTTAAATCCTAATTACAAGAATCCTCAGGACTTTGGCAGAATTTCAAATCGTAGCCACACTCCTACTTGAGACTTTACATATGCTTCTGACTAGTGACACCTGGTGAATCTTGTGGTATGTGGAGCAGAAGGCATAACAACTAATGCTATGTGCCACCAGGAACAAACATAGGATTCTCTCACACAGCAAGGCAAACATTCAAACATACACACAGAGAAAGAAATCCTCTGTCTCCGGTAAGAAGGCAGGAAGGAATAGGATAGCTAGAGGTAGCTGGGGGCGGGCAGTAGTCCACTGGCCCTTCTGGATAAGCTGCCACAGTTTCTATTTGAATTCTTGTGGTCTTAAAATAACTCCACGGAAGACAAACTTTCAATGTATCTAATGTCACCTGATGAAATTCTGTGTCTGGCCACAATTAAAAACATCTTTGTTTCCTTTGATATTCTATTCCAATTTTCAGCCAACTCGGTCAAGTCTGTCCAGAGCTATTTGCTGATAATTGGCTTTTCCCCTCAGGTACTCTTATCTTATGGAGTAGATCAGGCAAAAATTAGTTAAGCAGAGAATTGAGGATATAGAACGGTCAAGTCAACCTTTCCAGCATGCAAAATATGGTGGGGGCTTACATAAAAAAACTCTGTGGAACAGGCAAATCTCTGGACAATTAAAAACATCACATTTAGAGCTGTTGATTAAGAAATAGTAGTCATTGATCAACAGAATTCTGATTCATCAGTTTTTGCATATGAAGGGCTTTTCAAAAAACATTTTTAAAATGTGTCAGTATTTTTTTTCAGAAGCTGTTTGGAAAATGGAATGAAGCTGCTTTTTCAATTAATGAGCTGTCCTGATTCAAATTACATAGGCCTTGCAAAATTAGATTTTTTAAGATCACAAGTCCCATTATACTCCTGTGACTGAAAGATTCTGAAATGGTAGGCCAACTACATTCCTAACTAGCTAACCTGCCAGCTAACTCACTCCTTCTCATTGCTTCGTCAGTACCATGAGGAAGACAAAGCAAAGTGTGAAGCTGGTCATTTTTAACGTTCCACCAAACAAAAATGTCCCAACAAACTGGGATGGTGGTAATCGCCAACGTCCCACTGGTTTGGAGACAAAGGGTGATCAATTGAGGGGAACTGACTCTTTGTATGTGTCTCTTTGCTTCCTCTTCCTGGATCTTGAATGAGGAAATTGGAAGAACCAGCTTGTGGTCACCCATTTGGCTAGAAATTGCATTGGCTCAAGCAATCACACAGCCTGAACCAATGCGAATGCGTTTGTGTGGGGGGAAAAAAAGACAATAGAAGCTCCAGTGATAGAGGAAAAGAGAATGAATTAGAGAAGAAAAACCCCAGGCTGATTTGCATTGATTTGTATGTCATGTCAACAATGGAAAATAATGCAAATCTGACTATCCCAATCCTGAATCATTTCTTGCATTGTTTGTCAATGCAGTCATTCCCGGAGACTTACCTGTAATCCTTGCAGGAATTGCAAAGAAAATGGACTTTCACAGTCATGCTGGCCTGAATCCAGTCACTAATTCCAAACAGAGAAGATTTATTGAATCAATTGTTGAATTGATACAATTAACTATAATTGATATAATGTGTCTACTTTAACTGGAAATGTCAATTAGATATAAGGCACTTTTTAAAGTTTATCCCTATTATTACACAAAATGTTTTCATTTGGTCTGACCTTGAACAAGCAATTAAAACCCATTTGTTTTACAAAAGAGCTGCTCCTGAAAACTACTAGACCTGTTTTTTTTTAAGAGCCAACACAGCAGCTACCTGAAGTTCTCGATTCCCTTGGGGAAAGCATGACTAAGGGGCCTAACAAAATGGCCACCTGCGACTCAGAAACTACTACTATATCCCTCTTTACATGCACACTGTGGTCGATTACTGGTCATTTATATTTTAGGTAGCAGAATTGAAAACATGAAATTTTTTGGGTCATTCCGAAGCAAAAGAACACTTTTGTGAGTCCTCTCATGAAGCTTATACTGGCTGAAATCCTGTTGTATTAAAAAAAATTAGAAATAAATTTTTAAAAAATATGAAATCCTGTTGCTGCATATGGCTGACAATGTCATCATCATCATCAGTGATTTTTTTCTCTCCATTAAATTAAACACTTTTAACCTCTGTGTTAACCTTACTCTGTAAAAAAACTCTCCATGGATTTAAAAGTGCTTGTTAGTTGGCTGCACATGAGATAACATGCCTCCCCCTTTCATAGACTCAAAGAAGTTGAAAGTTAGAAGGGGGCTATAAGGCCCCTGAGTTAGAGGGCCTGTCAGAGGACTACGTTCCCTGTGAAAGAAACTGAAGAATGATCAAGGTAAGAACAACTTTTTAAATTTAAAAAAATCTTCTGGAGGCAAAATTAGGGAAAAATGAAGAGATAAGAGATTATCAAATGCCACAAAACAAGAACTGTCCCTAGCTGCTATAGACTGGCTGCTTTAACCACTTGGTACTACTCCCCTCCCATTGCTCTCATGATAATGCACTTTATACTCCTCCCACCAGACAACAATAAATTTCTGTAGAGTTGTTTCCTGCTGCCTTTCTTGGCTGTGCAGTGAGTGATTCATTTAATGTTAAACTGGTGGCTATTTTAAACCTTTATATGGTGAAACTCAGCTCGTTCTTTAAAAATGTGGGAGGTGGTCTGACAAGAAGCACACCTATGAAACACACTCTGCTGACCACCTTATCTCTCCATTCAACATTACTGTTCTCTCTGAAGTGCTGATGGCATTTCTGTTCTCTCAGAATCCTTTGAGAACCCTAGTGCTCTACCCCTGGCTCTCTAATCCATGAAAGGGCAATTGGTTATGAAGAGGAAGGAATAAACACACAACTCTATAAACAAAGAGCTTGTATTATGACTTAGTCAAACACATTCACTCCCTGTTTCTCGAGCAAAGTGACAACACCTTTCCTCACAGCCGCACCACATGATCAACCATTCTCCCTCTTTTCAAGCAAAGAACAGTGGAGTCCTGAACTTGGAAGAATTATGTTTTTGAACTATAACTCTTAGAATTCTCTAACTAGTCTGGCTAGGAAAGAATCTCACCACTGGTATAAAAATATTATTCCCAAACATCATTTCTATGCACAATGTAGAAAGGGATCTACACCACCTAGAAAAAGCACGGAAGCAAAAATAGCAAGTATCAGGAAACAAGGCTGTGGACAAACAGTTGGCGGAGTCCCACAGTTTTAAAAGTTTTGTTCATTCTGTCCCACATACCATGCAGATCAACTACCATTCATTACCATGGACATTTATCACAGCCTCTTTCTCCTAGGTCAGAAGTGGGAATTTATAATTCTCCCAGAGGTCAGATTGTTCTTGGATCGAACATGGAAGCTGGATGATGTCAGTGGGGGTCAATATCTCACCTCCATGCCCTCCCTGGCTTCACTGATGTGATACAACCTTTCCCCATGACATTTACCCAGGTCAGGCATGGGGAATTTCCAGAGGCCTGAGGGCTGTGCATATTCACCCCTGCGCCTCAGGGGACTGCAATTACTCTTATACTTCCTCAATACTTTAATTTTTATTCACTTGAAATTAGACATGGGAATGAATATAAAAAGGAATCGGGATATTTGTTGAATATCGCTGATTTGTCAGATATTCATTGCTTCGTATTCTTGGAGTCCAGAGACCCTGATGAATACGAAGCAATGAATATAACTTTGATCCCTTCCAACGAATTGATTTGTGGTTTGTTGAGCCACTGGGGGGAAATTCGTGGTTCGTGGGTCCTCAAGTTTGACGACCCATGAATGAAGACAAAGCCCCATTTTAGTACATCATCCCCATCTCTACTTGAAATGTTTCCCTTGCACTTTCTAGTGGCAATTAAAAATAATATTTGTGTGTGTGTAGCCAGAAGTGCCGCCCTCTCAACATAGCAAAAATATTTCTAAACCCTCTAGATAGTGGTGGTTTTGGCAGCTGTAGCTCAGTGTGTTGGACCACCTGGTTCTGGAGCCAGTGAGCGAGAGTTTGAATCTCCTTTGTGCCTCCTGGGAAAGAGGCCAGAAGAGATCACCTCAAGCATGCGTTGAGGGGTGGGGTGCTGAGGTTACAGGGAGGGAGGCATTTTAGTGCCAAGAAGCAGATGTAGTTCATGGGACAGACTGTTTCCACCCATAATTTAGATAATTTAGGATCTAGATTCTAGCCAGGCCATTTGCTAAAGTAGATTGAATTGAGGGCAGTGGCATAGCGTGAGTTACTAGCTCCTGGGGCACCCGGGCCAAGGCAAATATTGCAGAGCGTGGCTCATATGCCCCCCAGACAACATGTGGGTGTGGTGCAGCCCAGTGGCATGGTGGAAGAAGTCCTCAGGGTGGCACCATGAAGTGGTCATGGAGCCACTCAAGGCGGTGGCGGCAGCAGTGGCAACAGGCCCAGCACCCCCTGGCAGCTTAGATTTCGACTACCAGGAAGACGAGTGCAAGGAGCAGCTGCAGGAGCATGCTGGGAGGGCAGCCTGTGGGCCCCAAAGAATTTTGCACCTGGGGCAATTACCACTCTGCCCCCCCCACGCTATGCCACTGACTAAGGGCAAATGTCTTTTTCAGTGTACTTTTCTCTAGACATGTCAGAAAATCTTGGCTTCCCCAGCGTCCCCTCTCCCCACAAAACCAACCACAAACTTCTCCCTTCCACCATCTGGACCCATCTGGAACTCTGCTGCTTGCCTGAGAGTACTACACATGTTGTTATTTTTTAAAGCCAACTTTCATTTGGAAGACTTTCTATAACTCCTGTTGCTCGCAGCAACTGAAGTACTGAATGGCACCTGCTTTTAATCTTTTAATTATAGGACAATTTTTTTTCCTTTGGGTCAGCTGGTGAAGCAGCAAAATAATAGTGTGAA